CTCTCTGTTGTACTTAAGTTAAGTGATATTTCATTTTTTTTCATCTCACACACTCTCTGTATTTCATTTTGTTCCATAAATATTTTTCTCTGTTTTCTTCCCGGAAAGCAGTATTAAGCGAAAAGAGAACGATGGAGAGGAAGTGCATTTTCATTCGCTATAACAGACTCGGTCGATGTGAAGCTGGTCACCGATGTGGGGTTTGATGCTCTGGCTTTCGCGGCAGACTTTACGGCTTTTTCATACAGATTCCGGAATGAATATCATGTAAGTACTTCCCGGCGGACATGGGTCTCTATTTAATGGCATGACTTTACTCAAGTCACCGCCTCGGTTGTGTTCGTTGACCTTACCTAGGTCACCCATCATCCTCGGAGGCGAGCATGTGCCCGTGGGGCTCGTTGTGAAGGATCCACAACCTAACCTAACCTCATTTCACGCGTACCGTTGCCACCAGTTATATTTTTATAATATACAACTAGTAGTGCTTGGGACCAACAATTATTACAAGAAGGTCTCGTCGTCATCGGCATCATCTTCCTCTGCTGCTTCTAAAGAGGATGGAAACTATCAGCAAGAAAAAGCAGTGATAGGTTCCATCCTCTTTAGAAGCAGCAGGCACAACAGCAACAAGACCCACATCTGCTGCTTGGAATGCAAAAAGTGGAGGTTGGAATTTGAAGAAAGCAACACCACCCTACTGCAGAGATCTAAACGGGTGGACATGATGAGGAACCACGAAAAAAGGTGCAAAAAGTTGATGAGGTAAAAAGTGGTGGAGCTGCAGCCTCTAATTAAAAGATCTTACACCCCGCGAGTGGGTACATCTATCTCTATCTATCTAGCTTCTAAAGAGGATGGAAACTATCAGCAAGTAGAAAGGCTGCTGCAGAGGCGCGCTGACGTGAATCTCCAGTACTTTGGAAAATTCGATCGCACGGCCTTGATGTGCAGCGCCGCACTAGGGAATTTGGAGGTCATTTCCTTAAGGCTTACCATTTTTGAAAGATATTCTAACTTAGTAAGTCCTTTCTTTAAGGCTTCTTCTTATCGTATGAATAGGCTCTTAAGTAGAGATGGGTCCTCTTTCCTAGGATGACGTCTCTGTTAGAGGTAGGTTAAAGGCGTTCACGCTACCGCTTGTTTTGCCGCTCTTAAGTGAGAGAGGCAGAACCAACGGGGCACGCGAACAGCAAAAACCTACCTCTAGCAGAGAAGTCATCCTAGGAAAGAAGACCCATCTCTTACGAGCCTACTCATGCGAGTGCGTAGCTTTCTGAAATACTTTCTGAACCACCTAACGAGGCTCTAACGTCTGTGCTACTAAAGCACAAAGCGGATCCAAAGTTGCACACGCGGGAAGCAAGCGGAGCCCCACTTATTACGAGCCCACGTATTCAAGCACTGTTCTATTTGCTTGATGCTCATGCTCTGATAGTAGTACTGTAAGTATAAATATATTTAAGTTCCATAACTTCGTTTCTTGTCTCATCCTGCCCTCTCGTTCGTTGATGGATCTCGTCCTTGTTGTCCTTCTGTCAGAAAGAGGCGCTCTTTACGCCTTAATTCAATTAAAAGTCCTAATAAATAATAATTTCAGTGGTTTATATAGGGGAACAACTTTTAACTACTATGTATAAATGTTCATATATTAATGCTGGAAGCTTGTTCAGGCATCTATTCTACTGCTGAGTAGGTCGCGTGATGCTCATGCTCTGATAGTAGCATGATGGACATGTTTGAGCTATTCTAATGTGATGAGTAGAGTAGCATAATGGATATGTTAGAGGTATTCTAATGTGATGAGTAGGTGTTAGAGTTAGCAGACGTAGACTGTGTAAACTTTGGCACCGTTCTATGTCCCTGCTTCAACAAGAGAAGATGTAAAGACCTGCTCGAGATGAACTATGAATTAATATTGATGGGGCAAACAACTAAACATTAGAATAAAAAAAATCCTTAGGTTAGTCCTTAGTCCCAGTCCTTATCAGCAACAAGATGATATTTGCATGGGCCACAGCCATCGATATGTCTATTCAAGATCAATAGGCCCTATCCAAAACGAACGTGGTAACAAGGTGATTTTTTTGAGCCACTTGTCGCTCCTCTCAAAACATTATAGAGTTCAGGGTACTCAATTGCGAACTTCATGATACTTACTACAACAAAGAAAGATGAGATTGTGTTGCAGTCACATTACAACAGCAGTTCTTCTAATGTGACTGCGTTCGACTATGCTGGACGCAGCTTCGATGATGGCCTGATCGTGCCTCACGGGGAACGCCTGGTCAAAGTGTGGGATGCCTTTAGTCCTAGTAACGATCATTAAAGCTTACCGTAATTCATCGCGAGAAGCATCTTTGGCGGGTTTTCAAGGGGCAAATGGTCAAAGATGCACTTCAAGATGAATATACGCAAGCTCTAAGATGATCAACAGGAGCAGGTGAGCAGTACAGGTTCCCCCTACTTCTTTGTTTCAAGAAACGAGGGCGACAAGTGGCGATGCGTTGATCTTGCTGCGTTTAGGGGTGAAGATCTTTGATTCAGCTCCACGAATGATAAAATCCGAAATTTGAATTCGTGGATTTTACCATTTTGTTCTCAAGAACTATAGGATCGATTTTAAGAGAATGAACTTGATGTTCATGATAATTCATCGACCTTCGCAGATGCAGTGATGCTTTCTCAACTTCCCATGATGAAGTACGCTTGTTTTCTCAGTTTGTTTGCTGAATAAGGGAAATGAACGTAGCAGGAGAAGACATCTACGTCGAGGAGTGCTACTCGGGATACCAATCAATCCAACTGCAAGTTCTAACGAGTGGCGCCGCAGCATCGCTGGACGTCGGTTTTTTGATGGGCGTGGCCGGTGTTGTAGTGCGCCTTTGCTGCTCGCGGTGCTGCGCGGGGACATCGAGTTCCAGGTGGACGCTTATACCTGGGACCAAGAATTAAGGCTCGACACAATTGGATTGTTCCTAGTTAGGATCATTCTGAAGAAATGAAGGCAAGAAGTGATTTGTTTTGAGCTCTAAAACAAGAGGAAACCGCTACGAAGACCGCTACGAGTTCTGAGGGTACGACCCCTGTGACTGAGGATGCTGCTAGTGCTACTAGGTCACAACACTTGCGGCCCGCACAAAAATCCTCAATTAAGGCTCAAACTGCATTGGTCATCACTTAAATTGGGGTCACTGACTACGCCGAAGAGGAGACCCCCTTCGAGAACAGGGGAAAACAGGGGGTGGAGGTCTGGCCCCTTCAGCATCATTGACCACTGACTCCTGACCTTTAATGCAAGCATAGAAAGGAAGCACACAGAGAGCAAGAATTATGGGGGCAACAGTACTAGGGATCCGGATGAGGTTCTTGTTGAACTTTCCCGCGAAGACGAGAAATTAAGGCTTGAAAAAATTCATTTCCAGAGGAGCTGGGGGTCGTTCTCTTCTGTTTCCTTCGTCTTGGAGGCAAACTCTGAAGCAATGGACTCCTGTGAGGAACTGGACTCCTTCGTCTTGAGCTCTAAAGAAAGCACCCTCTCCGGCTCGCTCAGGTTCTTCGGACGCAGCTGCTCAGGGGGGTGTAGGGTCAAGCTCAACAAGACACGGAACGATGTCCGAAGAACAAGAGGAAGTGGAACAAACTACATCTTTTGCTTCTTCTGCAAACTCATCCCCAATGACCCCAGCATCTCTTGAAGCTATCATACGAACTGTGGGTCGTCATCTGATAATGTGCTGCTCTGCTAGTCGGGGCAGCGTGGAGAGGACGATATTGACACAAGAAGAAAGTCGTGGCTTGGTATTTATCCAAGCTGCATGCAGCCCGACTGGGTTTTTGTTCTTATTCCTTTCATGTGCGCTTACTCAAAGCACTTTCAGAATCTAAAAAAAGTGAAGCATGAAAGGCAGCATGGAGATCAGAAGACTCACGAGAGGACGGCATCATGATCTTCAACACACTTTGATGAGCGAGTGACGGAGGGAGGTGTGGACACTTTAGGTTGACAATGAAGGGGTAATACCAGAAACGCATCATTGATGATTTCTTAGATATTGTTTGCGGTTTAGTCGTAGTCTGGTTCTGATGTGGCGAGTTGTTACTCCTCGCCTGGTTCATCCGGGTCAGATATAAGATGGAGAAATTTATTCAACATTTTTGATTTATGAAAAGCCCTTTCTTGTGCTTTTTTAGCTTAGGGCACCTACTTGCCCTAAGCTAGGCAAGGAAGATGACTACCTTATTGTTATTCTGTTTCTCCCATAACACATTCATCTAAGTTCGTATAGCTGATGTCCAGGAACCTCTTTCGAGCTTGCGCGTTCGTGGTTCTCTCTACGCGTTTCTGTTCTGCGCTTTGTCAATTGGTCCTCTAAGACGAGGTGTCCAATGTCTCGCTTCATCTTCCTGGATGATCCAATGATAGAACTAGAAGAACTATCTGTCATAGCACAAGTCGTGAAGTAAAGAATTAATTTCTTTTTCTTGTCTCTTTTACTTAGCTACCTACCCCCATCCCCCATAATTCTTAGCAGTTCTTGAGTTCGTGATCTTTGACATTTTGTTTGCATCATGAACATGATGAAACATGATGACCTCTTACGATCAGTGATTCGATGTGAGGACAATGCCTATTCGTATGAACCCCGTGCAGCTAGCCTGCAAGGACTGCATGCTGGCAACTGCATGTCATCGTGCTGACGCTTGTTGTGCCCGGTCGTGTTCCCTATCGTGCCCCCGTGACGAGAATCAAGATTACTTATATTATGATATAAGGTTCGCAACACGCAAGTGCGCGCCTTCAACTCATGATGTTGTAGGAGAAGTTAAGTTTTAGGAGGTATGCGTCGGTACTTGAATGAGGTAAATTCTAGGCAAAGAAGTGAGCAAACAACGATGAGCATCCTGCAAAGAGTGAACCGATGGATCAGGAAGCATTCTCCAAAAAGCAAAAAGGGGAGTCTGACCAAGATCAGAACGATTTTACATGACCAAGCAAAGAAAGGGTAGATATGGGGTGCAGATCGTCGAGTTTTGGACTCTCACTACAGCGTTGTCAAGACGCTACTGATAGTAGACAATTAGGAGCAAAAGATTAGCGAAAGCAGTTTAGCGAAAAGATTTACATGTCTAGTCTTGTGGCCGGACGAGTCACCGAGCGGATGAACGACACCAGAACCGGGTTTGTTGGCGGACTGGCTTCTCGATTTGCATCATAGGCAGTCGTCAACCAATATTTGTCGCTGAATTTTCGTTTCGGCAAACGCGAAATGTGAGAAGCTCTCGCGGACCATAAAACTCTTGTGGACCATATTAAAGCTCTTGTGGACCAGCAACTGGCAGATCGATCCGTCTACTATGCCATCGTACGGCGGCAGTGCCACTGGCACTGGTCGCGTTCCGTCAGGAGCTAAGAGTGGAGGACTCAAGCGGCGACCGTTCTCGGCATTGGTCGATGATTTGTTGTCAGACGTCTCGGATTTCGTTGATGAAGCGATTCTGACACACAGGGAATGGGTACTGCAGTTTATGATTGTTCTCACCATTAAATTCTACTCTTTTCCCTTTTCTGGTTCTCTATTAAATTCTACTCTTTTCCTTTTTCTACTGGGTCTTGTTGTTTCTATTTCAAGTTAGGTGCTCCACCACAACTACTATCGACGAAATTTAGTAAGGTTCAATTGAAAAAAGCGGAAATTCGGGAAGTGATTGCTGGCGTAGAGAGGTTGAAGCCACCTCCGGTGCAGAATCCCCGATGGGACTTTTACGCTGACTCTGACACACGGTATGTCTTCATAGGGTTGTACTGGTGATCAGTATTCATATTTTTACCACATCAAAAGAAAAACAACCGGCTAGAAGTTTTGTTCCCTCATGTATCCTAGGTCAGTCCCTTGTTCATCCAAAGCGCCCTTATATCTCCGTGCTTCCAAAAAATTTCTTTTAGCGTGGAAAAATCAGTCCCGCCCTGCAATTTGTCTGTACCTTCCCCCGTCCTCTTGTTGAACTTGCATACCGAATAGGTAAAGACTATTACTTCTACTTCTTGTATGCAGCTGGCTCTTGATCATGATCAAACCACCTCTCATAACTCTTATTGTAATAATTCACTACTGCAATAGAAGTTTACTACATCAACTATTTAGAGTTCCTTGTTCTATACACATGTCGCGCCACTAGCTCGCTCACTACTTCCAACATCAGGGTGAACGAGCTAGTGGCGCGACATGTGCAGGCACTACGAAGTCACCTGGAGGAAGATCTCTCTTCGAGTCGGGCAAAAAAGCGCGCAAAAACAACGGATGGCGCGCCACACGGAAACAAGTATTATATATTACCGGCATACTACTCAATTAATATTAATGTTGTTTGATTCGACGGCGACGACGATGCTTGAGCATTTTATTGTTTTTGCATTGTAGTAGATACACTGTAAGTGTGTGACTCGATGTCACTCATGCTCCTTGTCTCAAATCGATGTGCGAGTCGACATTTTGCATTGGTACATTGTAACTTCTAGTACATCAACAGCGAACACAGGTCGAATGGCGGGGCAGCAGGAGATGCGCCTGCGTCGGGTAGCGTCGTGCGCAGTAAAACGGCCACAGGAGGTCCCGTGGTCGGACAGCAGCCTGCCAGCTCATCGCGCGCTGGGCGACTACCGGCGTCCTCCTTCGGTCAGGAGAGCGAGCGGGGAGCCCGCTCCGATCGACCGAAGGGGTCCCACAACTTAAGGACGTTAGTATTTATCAGTATCCCATGTTGTTGACTCTGCTGGAGTTCCCTTTGAACTATGTCTGTGCTTCTATATGGAGTCCTCGTCGCTTTTGAGATACTCCAGGACTATTTTCATTTCTTTTTAGAGATTCTTAACATTTTCACCACTAAAACTAATGGTTGTTCCTTTTAAGGGAAGGAATTCCAGGGAGAGGAAAGGGAGCGCCCCACTCCTCAACCACGGATCGATAGTGGAATGCACTTTTTCCTCATGACCGTTCCTAGTAGCACTCTCTCTAGATTTTTCTCTAATACCTTTAAACAACGCTCTGCCAAATAAGCAGGACCCGAGAGGATCGAGCGGCGCTGCCGCACTGGCTTTCAATCGCCGACCTTTTTCACCCAGGGTGCTGAAAACCTCAACATCGTCTGGCTCGGGAAAGCGAGAAAACATGCTAGCGGTATCGCAGAAGAACAGTCGCGGATCGGCCAAAAGTAAAGAAGTTTAAGGCTCTACCTTTCATTTATTTATCCTAAAGGTTTGTTCTACACTTGAGTCCTCTGAGATAATATTCTCATGCGTTGCAGTTGAAAATTTTCGTTTTGATACTTCTAACAGAATGCAGACACAGGCGCTCCTAAGCCAGACGAGGAACCAATGGAGACAGGCTTAAAGCCGGTTAATCACAAAGCAAATGACCGGTCTCCCTCTCCACGATTGGTTTATGATTGAATATATTATATTCCTTCTTGAAAGGTAATATTTTGAGGCACTTACAACGAGGGTGACGATATATTTCTTGAGCCATAAATAAGGTACAGTCGGTACTAGCTATGGTTTGCATATTAATTTGAATTTCTTCGTCTACCAGGAGTGGTTGGTTCTACAATAATTCCAACATCTTCATCTTCTAATACGCGGATGAAAAAGCTTCGGAAAATGCACCAGGTAGTGGCGGGACCGGGAAGCTGGATAAGTATGAATTCCAACCGGAAGAACGAAAGGTGGCTGCGTCGACGTCGGTTTCTAGCAAGAGATCGAAGGATTTGGAGTTTCAATCTGCAGAACTCGTAAACGACTCCAACTTGAAGCCCTCTGCTATTCGAGTTAAGGCGTCTCCTGGTCCATCTCTGTACAGGTATCCCTCAGTCAAGAGTCTGCATCCCAAAAAAAGAAAGAAGATGATAGCCAAGCATATTCTTGCGGGACCCCTCAAGGGATGAACGGGGGACAGGCTCTAATCGAGCAAAAGCCCGACTAAGTGGCTTCGCAGGAACAAACAATCTCGTCATAGGTAAGAATAAAGGCGATCCTGCAACATCTTCTACATCGTCAGGGGGACACAGCTCTCTTCCTGAAGGAAGTAAAGAACTGAAGCAGACAAGCAGCACATCTTCAAAGGGCGCTGACTTAGTTTCTTCCCTCGGCGCGGATCCGTCAGCTGCGAATAACAATAACTCCACAGTAGAACCCGCCTCAGGAGGACCTTCAGTAGAACCTTCAGCAGGAACTACTTCAGCAGAAAGTGGCCGCAATTTGGTGGACGGTAGCGGCCAAAAGGAACAGGAGGAGAGGTTGTCAGCAATCGCAGCGCCCTCTGCAGTCATCGCCGCTGGAGGTGAACAAGACCAGGTCAGCGGAAAGAAGCATCGCAAACTTGCTGCAGAAAAGCTTCAGGAAGTCCTAGGTTCCGGGAAACGTCAGCAGAAAGAGGGCAGCGACGCAGCGATGCTACAGTTAAGGTCAGCTTTTCTCGTGTCCATCTTTCTCAGCATCTCGATACCCTTTCCCCTTGTATTACTTCATGGGAACAAAGGGGTGGAGATGAGGGGACCGAGGCGGATAGTAGATGCCGACGCTAACACAGATCTTTAGCACACACGCTGAGACGGATGCACAGAGGCGAAGATCGGATGTCGATATGGACGCCTTATTCGAGGACACAACGGACGTCTTTGAATCAACGAGCCAGCAGATGCCGGCCGTCGCTCTCACGGCTACTTCGGGAACGACCACTGCTGATACTAGGTAACGAAATAAGTATGTGGATTAACGAAATATGTGGATACACTTACCTAATGAGTTAAGGCTAGTTCTTGGTTCTCTTTTTAGCGTAGTAGGAACAAGATCAATTTTTTTTCAAGTTCCTGTAACTTAAAAGCTAAAGTATCTCTTTAGACAGTATCTCTCTTGAAAAGATTGTCAGGAACGCCATTGCTGGGGGAGACAGCGACAAGGGTGTAGACGACAGACAGCAGATCGCGGACGAAAGCCGGAAAAAAGCATCGCCGATACTTCTAGAAAAAAGTCCTGAAGTTCCGCCGCAGGAACTTGTCCAGCCGCAAGACGCTGTCCAACCACAAGAAATCAAAGATGATAGAGTAGTTAAGGATTGCAGCGACTCATTGTCATCTCGTCCCAGTAGTTGTAGTACATTTAATCTTAATTGATCTTAATCCTAATCATCTTAATCATAATCTAATTTAATCTTAATCATGATTTTGTGAACGTCGGTTCTATCAAAACAAAGGGTCTACCTCGGCTGTTTTTTTTGGCAGGGCGGAAGAGCAAAGTGACTTGAAGAGCGTGACTAGTCACGCAGTTATACCCACTAGCACTACTGCTACAACCAAACACCAATTAGCAAGTTCAAACCGTCCGAGAAAACCTGAAGCTCTAAGTTTAAGGGTAGGGGCCGAGAGTCCTCTCGGCAGCAGGCTGCGAGTTCGGTTGGTTCCACATCGTCTGCAGGAGTATTTGGTGGCGGCGCAGCACGAATCCTTGACGCCGCTGACGCGGAAGAGGTTGATCACCACATACCCTCCATAAGCACTGGCACAGCTGCAATAGAAGCACAAGCAGTTGTTGTTAGGACTAGTGATGAGCAGCTGCAGGCTGGCAGTGCAGACCAACATCCGAGTTCTAGCGCAGAAGATGGTGTAGATGTTATTGCGGAACGAAGCGACGTGAGGGACCAGGACGATCCTGGCTTGAACCAAGACAGAGACCTAGAAGAAGATCGTCATGGTGCCCAGAATGAGCAGAGGAAACAAGTGATAAGGGCGAGCGACGTCGAACTCGAAGCAGGCCAGGGGGAGATGTCGATGGACACCGGATTGCTCTTTGGCAATGTCGAGGAGGCGGATCTGCATCCGGAAATTACGGCGCCGATGCCCCGAGAGCTCAACTTCGAAGCGCCTAGTGGAGTCAAGGAAAAAACGACAATTAAGGCAACCAAGAGACAGCATCCACTTCCCCAAGAGACAGCATCCACTTCCAGGCAGACAAGACAGGATACCAGAAGCATTAGCGCGCTGAGCGTACTCGGTTTAAAACTCATTTGAAATAGTGCGCCACATCGAAGATCCAAAGCACCTTTCTCCGAATAAGTAATAGAAAATCGAGACCCTTGGTCTAAAACTGATTCCTCAAGATCATCCTTGGTGCCCTTTCCAAGGGGAAAAAGCACGACCCAAGGATGGTCCCAGGAACGCGACGACGTATAAGTAACTCTAAGACCACACCTGGCAGCGCCGACAACAAACTTTTTCCGAGCTACGCTAGTGTGTCCGCTATGCCTGCCGACAGCGTCTTCGCAAGTCACAGCTTGTTCAGCAATCAAGCCAGCACACTCTTCAAATCGGGTGGTGAGACCGCGAAGTCATCATCAAAGCCTGGTAGTACGATCGAGCAGAAGGCCACTATGGCTAGTTGTTCTTCACTATCCCATGTGGACTATCATGTCATGGTGAGTGAGATGTTGCTCCGTGGTTTAGAGGGGAAACCAGAGCGAAAAAGGGCAACTCACTCTACCACCGATAGTGAAAAACTAGCGTAAGCGTTAAGAGGAGCAGTGCGCTTCTTGAGAAGCCTGGTAGTACGACCGAGCAGAAGAGCAGTACGCTTCTTGGCAAGAAGGAGGAAGTTGTTGCTGCGAGTGCTGCAATTGGCGCCGGCTCGTCCTCGTCTTCTCATGTACCCCCAGCCAAGACGAGCGGACGCAAGAGTTCGCTAGTCCTGCCGAAGCTAGTTGTAGCTTTAAGCGCTCGTAGACTATACAAATGTAGAACCATAACCTCGCCGAACCGAAGTAGTACAACGGTGCAATAATTTATTTTCATTTGCCTTGACGTGGTCTTCTGAGTCCTCTCGACAAGGAACTGCTTCAAGTTCAACATGGGTTCTTTGTCTCCACAGGACCACAGGGTTTTCCACAAATAGAAATCAATATGAATCAAAACTTGAGGAAGCGCTCGAATGTATTTGATTAGTGTTAGGTTAGGCATGTAAGACAGATTGGCTAATTCACTACCGTCTAGAAAAACTGCAGTAATATCTGCCGCAACAACTATTATGATCTAGTAAATGATACTATCGCTATCCACCGCAACCGCTAATACTAGAGAAGGCGGCGCCAGTTGCCCCAGTCGAGGCCGAGCAGCTGGTGATACCAGACCCAGTGACGGGAGCTATTCCCGCTTCACTCATGCCGTCTCCAGTTGACAGCGTGGGTAGCGCAGGCTTTTTCTCGCTCGGTTAAGGCCGACAGTTGTAAGCCATCTCTCTGTGTCCGTAAAATTCGATTGTTTTTTTTTTTTGGGGGATTCAATGTCAACTGGAGTAAATCTACTATATAATGCAAAATCAATAAGCCCACTAGAAATTTAACAATAACTTGTTCTAAATCCGAGCCGCTAGTGACGAGGCTGCGTATATGACAGTGAATGACGCGTCGAGTGGAGGGCCATCGAGCACGGATAACACTCCAAATCTAGTTGCCGAAAAGGATGTAGGAACGATCGCAGCTCCTGCTAGTGGTAACTCCTTGTTGTTTTTCATGAATCTCCTGACTTTCTCACACTTCAAGAACACGGTTAGCGCCGTAGTTGTAGTTCAATTCATTCATGAATCTGCTGAATCTGAAGATAGAGAGAAGATCAAAGTGGTACTTCTACTTATAGTTAGTGAGTAAATGACAAGGAATCTTGATCTCCAACATGTGAGATCCTAACAAGAAAATTAGATTGCTATCTCAATTTCTAATCATAGTAAATCGTTCTTTCGTCTGCGTCTTCAGGTGGTCCCGAAGCAGCAGCGGACGCGAAGGCCGCGCCGAACGAAACAGCAAAGCTGGTAAATATATATAGCACTTGTTGTTGCTTTACTTCTAGTACCTAAGCTAGCTATCTTGGCAATTAGTTACTTCTATGGTGCTTGACTTTTAGTAAACAAGGATCATGGAGGGAGGATGTAGAACTACGTAGTGAAGTATACTCTTAGAGTCACTTTGTTATGTTTGTTACACTACTAAGAAGTAATACACTCACACCATAGTCTAACACGAACCATAATTGCAGGTACAAACATGATGAAAAATACACAGGTATCAACTACATCGAAAGTTTCGGAGCTGCAGTCCTCGACGACTCTGAAGCCATCAGAAGCGGGTCGACAGCGAAGGGAAGCAGAACGAAAGCGTCTGGAGACGCTAAGATCACGACGCTTGGCCATACGACATTTAAAACGGGCTGAAGACAATTACGAGCTCTCAGACAAATGCTCGACCGACGAAGACTCACCCGATCGGTATCTTTATCATCTTAAGATCAAGGACAACACAGGGAGTACTTCAAACTAGTACATTTTAGACGTAGGTGGACATGTTGTGCATCAGAAGTTGTATCAAGAAGGACTGTAAGTGTCTAGTGCTTGTTTTAGCTTGGTCACATTACGCGCATCAGTCGTTTTTAGAAGGACTGCAACCCGGCTGGTCACCGGGGCTCAATAGAGCAGCGCTACCGCGCGAAACACCGAAAGATGCCCGGCTCTCCCCGTGCCCTTCGAGGGTAGGGGGCCGCTGAGGCGACACTGTGGATGTGGTTGGCTTCTTGGATCTACGAGTACGTCGAAGTGGCGACGCTGGGACACGGCCTATCCCCCCTCTGGCAGACGGGTACGCAACAGGAGGAGATCTAGCTCGCGAGGAGTTGAGACGCTCCCCCGGCCTCTGGGCGTGTGCTCCCTGCCTCTGTCACCTGCGAGCGTTGGCACAGCCGGCGACGCAATAGAGTGCAGCGCCTCTGCTCCTCTGTTCTGCTCCACTTCTCTCCATCTACGACGAGCGACCCCCCGGGCGCGCCCTGTGTGCATGAGAGTCCCGCAGGAGCTGAAACGCCCTGCGGCTGCGGCGCAGCTACTCCAGAAGGAGAAGGCGTGGCCCTGAGAGAACGGCGGGCAAGAGGTCGGCCGGGTGCTCAGATAGAAATGCAGCATCGTCGGGCGAGCAAGGAGACCAAGGACACCCAGGCGCACAAGGAGAACAAGGACCCCCAGGCGCAAACGGGGAACAAGGCTGCGCCTGTGGATCTGCCTCCCGGCGCCACCTCGACTGACTCCGTTGCCGAGGCTTGGCCCTCCATGCGTGCATGCTGAAGCGCCGCCTCTACTGACTCCGATGCTGAGGCCTGGCCCTCCATGCGTGCATATTGAAGCGCCGCCTCCGCCGCGCCTGCCAGCGCATGGCCGTCGCTGGCTGAAGGGAAGAGGCCGGCTCCGGCAAGGAAGGCCCCGCAGCAGAAGCGTACACAAAGGACGCCAGTGCTTGACTGAGAAGGAGAACAGCCTCTTCGCCAGTCGTGTGGAGTCCAAGTCTATCACCAGCAGCCCAACCACATCAGCCCCGCTGCCCCAAGGTGAAGCGCTTGCGGTCGTTCATGCTTGTGATGGGGTCGCCTGCGCTGGCCTCCTTACGGTGTTGGCCCGCTGTGCCCATGGGGGGCTGGGCGTGTGGCTTTTGCCTTTGGGAAGCGTTGCTGGGGCCGGGGGCTGTTTAGCTCTGCTGGCGTGAGTGGCGGGGGCTCGACGTGTGGCGATTCCTCGGGACTGTCGCACGCGGCTGGCGATGCGGTCGCTCCTCGAAAATTTTATGAGTAAGAGAGCAGCGGCACCCACGCGACTGCGCAGGGGTGCCGCCGCAGCCGCTCCCTTCTATCTCGTGCATTAGCTATCTGTGAACGTGCGCCCACTGCTGGCTTCCTTGCGGCCATCGTTGGGCAGGGGCGCTAGCTCTTGCCCGCGTGTGATGCAGCTCGCCGCGGGGGGGGTCTGGTGCTTCTTTGGGCGCTGCGTACCTTGAGCTTGATGGTGTGGCGCGCCGGCTTTCGACTAGAGGCCCCTGCTGCTCGTTGTTTTGCCCTTTCACCGCTGCACCCGCTTGCCTTTTTTCGGTGTTTGCTTTGGCTCGTGGTCTCTCCCTCGCGCGGGCTCTGCTTTTACCATTACGGACCGGCGGCACGCAGGCACTAGCACGCGCACCCGGGCCGCGGCGCCTTTTGTTAGGGTTTCCCTCTGTCTTTGCTTTTGCCTCGCGTGTCGTTGTGCTTCTGGTTCTGTCCCTGGGCTAGGTCTGTGGGTAACCGTCTACCCTTCTCGAAATAGAAATAGATAATATATAATAGGAGGACAGTGCGTCGTGTCTAGTAATTTTAGTTTGGTCAGATTTGAGCTGCATCAAGACCATTAGATTGTTGATTCATAAATGGCTTCTTTGAAGGAAGAATTCCAAAAATATACTTACTTAGTTTCAGAATCATTTGCGCTTTCCAAGATTTTGCTTCCAGATGTACGTATGTTCGTATCTATCGTACACCAAATTGATTCCAGGTCGCACAAGCGTGTACCCGACTGGTGTCGCAATTGGCCGGAGAAGGTAGCGCAACAGGGATTATTCGATCCCGACACGATATTCGGATGCAAAGTGGCGAATCCAGATCTATCGAGAATCTTCGGCGCCAATCTCAGAACCAAGAAGAAGCGTCGCGGCAGCAGCGAGAATTGGGAGAACGATCGGCTCACAAGAAGAGAAGTTACGTTCTTGACTAAGTACTTGTTTCGCTACTTATTCACTAACGAACGAAGTATTAGTATTCCCATCAAGTTTTATATAGTAACACCCTTTGCTTGTGGTAAGTGTTGTACTCATCTCGATCTCGTAGCACTTTTTTCTTGCACAACTACAACGAATCTGCTATCATCTCCTAGCACTTTTATTGTAGGGCCAATCATCTCCATTATGTGTAATCGAAAACTGAAAATACGTGAGTTACCGACCGAAATAAGGGACGTAGTTTCGAAAGGCTACGCTTCCTTCTTCAGTATCTCGGTTATTCTCGTCTGTTACACCTCGGTTATTTCAGTTTTTCGAGTAATCAATTATGTTCCACGACCTTGTTATAGCCTACCTCTGCTGCAAGTGGTGTAGATAACCTTTTATGAACCCAAGCTGTTCTAAGAAAATCGAAGCGTACAAGAAACGCACCAATCAAGTTCGCGAGTGGACGGCGATACAGGAAGGATCGTCCTAACGGGCATCGCGGGCACGGAGGCCGAACCCGAAAATGGGTCTTTAAAGAACTCCAAAGATTGGAGATAATATAGACGAACTCCTAGCTCCGCAAGAAAGATGGCGATTTCGGTTATGCTCCATAGAGCGATCAATGATGTTCTTAGCATGCTGCATAAGTAGATATGATTTGTGCATTACTACATCTAGTTCGTGGTTTATCAGAGAAACGTCAAGTAGAAATCCACATGAAAAACTACAGGTTAGAAATACAATGAACTAGAACTTGCTTTTTAGAAGTTTGTCTTTTTTTTTCGGCTTGTGTCGTTAGGGTCAGTTTTTTTCGATAATGTATGTAAGGATTGTCGTTGTTCACGCACATCCATTTCTTCAATCTTAATCATACAAGTAGGTAGTTCTACGAAATTACGCGCAACTGCAGATAATATTTGAAACTTCAAACAAGAACAAGAATGAAAGCAGAGAAAAGCACGAGTGGTGATGGAACAAAGGAGAATGCTGGTTTCGAATCCACCAACGCCAAAGTAAGACAGACTGACGCAAGAACTTTGACGCAGGGATTTCCATTGGTAATGTATGATGAACTCTTTGGTACTACAAGCAACGCGCAACACTGACTATGACACGCACAACATTGGATTGAAACGCGAAAGACGGACTCTCGTGTCGAAATAACGGTGTGCTGCTTTCACCAGCTTCTTCTAGTATTCAGCACCTCTCAGAGTTCTTTCTGGGCTCAATCGTGAACAAACACAAAAGAAAATCCTTCCAGGAAGATTTCATTTGTCGGAAGAGGTTCTTAGTCCTCGAGTAGGTTATGAATATCCCTGCAGTTGTATGGTATTTGTAGTTGCAGGGAGCGAGGACTTTTTTTGAATGAAACTAAATGCTTGTCGTGAACTGCGATCTTCATTGATGACGGCTTATACAACCTGAGTGGTACAACTATGTTTCTTTTACAATCAGAATGACTGATTTACTACTCCGAGGAGAGTCGGCAATGATCGCAACTGCCGTACGTCCTAAGGAGAAACGAAAGCGGCGACTGCTTTCACCACTGCAAACCTTACCTCAAGCAGTTTTAACGGAGGATGTCCTCGGCTTTTTGGGCGGAGCAGATCTAGCGAGGCTTGAATGTATGATGTATGTGTAAATGATTACATCTGTGATTATCCTAATTCGCATCGCGCTGTAAAGTACTTACCATGAGTTTACCTCTGTGTAAGTTTTGCTTCAAACTTGTCCGGTAAGGGTCAAACCTGAATTGCATGACCATGACCATGGCCAAGGGTTGAAGCATCAGCTTGAAGCATTTCAGCCACTAAGTACATGGAAGAAGAAAGCTCGATGTGCAGGACCGACAACCTAACCTGACCAGAGGAAGTCACTTTTGGCTCCTCTACTACTGTAGAACAGTATAGTAAGTCAGTGTTCGTGTTATAATCATAATCCAGAAGTAGAACTTGTCATCGTCCTTGTCATCGAAGCTGCTACTTCATCTCCCGTACCTGTCGCTTTTTCCGCCTCGTGGGTGAAGCAGTGGCGCAACGTCATGTACGAAAGAAGCTGCGCCGGATCACGGAGCGCAGCGAAGGTCTCTTCAGTGTGCAGTACGCGCCGATTCTAGCGAACGATGACTCGTCTCCAGACGATTCAAACGAAGAGGAAGAAGAGGAGCAGAATAATAAAACGACTTAGGTGGCAGACTTTTTGTACAGTTGTACTTAATTGATTCAAATTCATTCTCCCGAGTACGGCGCGCGTACCTACCTCTCAGTTTCTGGCGTACCTACCTCTCAGTTTCTCGCACTGAGAACAAGATGAATTGAAGGTTAAAGATGATCGAGAAGCTGTGAATTCTAGAGAGAACCTCTAACGAGTGGCGGAGGGTCGTGCAGGCGATGTCAGATTCGTTTCTTCCTCTCGTGCGCGTCCAAAGCGGGTGGAAAAGGAGCAACGGCAAGTGCCTTACGAAAAATCAGCGAAAGAGAGTTGGAAGAGTATCCTTTACCTGTACGAGAAGGGCTTTTTCCGACCAGCGGTTATGCATCAGTTCGACTGGCGGATTTTGCTGCGCTTTCCCGATGTATGGCACTTGCACTACTTGGAACTCTACGACCACGTCACGCTGGATCGCGATCTGGATAGGGTGCCCGAAAACGCGAAATACGTACTGGCAGCTGCGTGGCAGGACAAAGATATGAAGGACGGAGAGGAAAGCACAGAGGATGGTGAGGTTTATGGATCAATGATGTTGCATTATGGTTATAAGAGGCGCTATGTTCCTCGTGTGACCACTACTTCAGTTAAATTCAGTTCTATGGAATGGAAACAAATTATGATGATCTGCAAGTTGTAGCCTTAGACATCACGGGAACAGTTATGGATGACGACCATTGACTGCTAAGATCTGAACAGTGATGTGGTGGAAGACGACGCACACGACCCCTTCGGAGGTAGTAGACCACCTCAGAGACGAACGTCGAGACGGCCACTCCCCGCACGTGGCATGATTCGGCAGTACTACCGACAAAAAGGTGGCTACTCCTCGGCACGCTTTCGCGAACCTGCGCTCGAACGTCGCTCCCGATTGGAGCTGGAGGATGATGTCAACGACGGTCGGGAGCAGGAGAACGATGGTGCGATCCCTGGAGTAACGTTCGGGGCAGATATGTTACTGAGGCATCCGTTGTTGAGCAGCAGTGACGGAAGCCGAAGCAGTTCATCTGCTCCTTCCTACGTGGCATCTGGATCTGGAGAAAATGTGGAGAAAATTGGTCTCCTGAGTACAGCCACACCTCCGACATTTTTAGGCGAACCAACAAGTAGCACTAATATCAACACGAAGGTGGAGGTGAGACAAGAAAGTCAGCAGCAGGGTGGTGGCTTGCCACTGATGCATTTCGCCGAGTATGACGGGAGTGGACAGTGTGTGTTTGATGCGCGTTTAGTTTCGGAAGAAGAACGACAGGTTCTCGAAGCCGCAGAAGCCGCACTGTCAAGATCGAATTCATCCGTCAGTAGCGATGGTGCTCCTGGGACAACGAGTGGAACGTTAATATCGCACTCCGCGAGCCTGCGAGTAGTAGAAGGAGAAGGACAAACCCAAACGAGCGCACGAGCAAGTGGCGCGCTTCACCAATCACGCACAGATGAGGCGCTTGATGTGGAAGAAAAAACGAGTACAACTCAGCAGAGCAACCTACTAGAAACCGCACGAAAACTACTTGGCCAGCAGCGGCTCTTACCCCAATTTCTGCGCTCCCTCACCAGGTTCATTTGTTGTGGGCGTCGTTCGACACAACCAGGCGACGCTTCGGCCCCGGGGAAGGCAGCAGATTCTTCTGTGGAGCTTACTAGTGCAGCAGACAGGAGTCCGGGTCTAAAGACGACCAATGTACTAAAAGACGCAGTTGCAGATCGAATAGGTTTGGCACGCGGTACTGATTTGAACCTGCACATTGCCGCCTGGGCGCCGCGCGACATTGCCCTCAAAGTCACGATCGGTGCTCACGATTTCCTAGGTGGCCCGGTCGATGGCTCTGTGAATACCTTTCCGGGAGGTAGTACTTCTTCCTCTTCTACTTTGGTTAAGGCTAGTCTTTTAATGGTCCATCCTTCCCTAGAAGAGTTCTGACAAATCTGTTGTCCCGTACAAGGGAAAAACAGATCCGAGATGAAGTATCCAAAGACGGAAGGATTCATTGGGGTGAGATCTAACTTAAAAGGTCCCCAAGGGGAAAGAATGGCAAGGAATGGTGGAGGTCTCGGAGTAGAAGATCCGGTAATGGCGGTTCTTGGCCGCGGCGCTCCTTGGGGCACGCTCCGTCGCAATGTTTGGGAGAGGTTGATGGATGAGGTCACGCGTGGAGAGATAGCCAGAGCACCAGAGCGACAGGAGCGAGTACCTGAAGAAGACGCAATCTTGGAGATAGCGCGACCACCTCCTGTTGACGATGGTCGCGCTCTTGGACGAGAGCGAGAGGGTGGTGGAGACCATGACGAAACAAACAGTACGGATGAAGAACTGGCGGATGCGCGGCGCCGGTTATATCGTCGTGGGATGAATGGGCGAGCAGTGCGATTGCTGGCCGATTCTCCCGAAATGGAACGGAGACTCTCGCAGCGGCGCAGCTCACCGTCGAGCATTAAGGGTACTGGAAATGAACCAAAATCACTTCATACATACACGCTCCAGCAACTGCGGTAAAACAGATTATAGAAACCAAGTGATTCCATTAAAACAGACGTTAATATTGTGTGGGTCCATTCGAAGGTCTATTGTTCATCACTAACGTATCCACCTGTTCTTACCGATAATGGTTTTGCCTTTCTCATAACGGTGAGTAGAGGCATAACAATTTAACTAACGGAGGAACCGAAAACCAAAGGCCTACTTCTAAGATCAGGAGGAGCTTAGCTGAAAGAAGACATCTTTCTAGTTCTTCAAGCACGTCTACTGTAGCAGACCGGATGAAGAAGAAGAAAAAGAAGAATGCTAATCATGTTAAGGGTTTTCACATTGCATGATCCTGTGCCACAACCATTTTTGACTTGTTTCCCTTTCCCCATAGGAAAGAAGTCAAGGATGTTCTGAGGTCAATACAATGCCGCAACCCCAACCACTAATCGTGCTGAAAAAACACCTGGAGGAGTGAGTTGGTATCGATGGAGAGAGCATGCCTTTGGTTTCTCCTCCAATCCAGACCTATTCTTACGGTACGCGGATTCGCGGCTCGCTTTTTTCGGCACGGAGATGGACTCGAATGACCGTCTCAGCTGTTAAGGTCAGCGTTCATCCATCTGTATCAGCATCTCGATACCCTGTAGTCCCCTAGTATTTCATGGGATAGGGGTCGGGATGAGGGGACCTCCAAGATGAATAAAAAAAGCTGACTCTAAAGCTGGAACCTAGATCGCGGAGAATCGACTGGCGGATGGCGAGCAGGTGTGGAGACGGAGCTCGGAGACGAACCCAGGAGGTGGCATAAATTGCTTCTTTATCGCATGTAGGATCTTCGCATGATTTTTTACTGTGGCAGTGGTAATGGTACTTAGGTTATTCGCCAACTACTAATTTAACAGGTGGTACTAGTGGTGAATTCGCCAAGCATGTCTCATCTTCCGACGCTATGCTTTCATTGATTTCATGGCTTCCATGCTGACATAATCACAATAAAAGAAACACATCCACCACCTTGGTTTCTCCCCTCAGTCCTAGATAGATTGGTGCGGAAAAATCTCTTGGTGCTCAGCAGGATAAAAATGAACAAGATGATGGCCCAAAAGTACTCATGTGAGGACCGCCTTGATGGTGGCTGTTGCTGACGGTGATTTGTTCTGTGTCTTCTTGCTTCAGAAAATGAAGAGTTTGGGATCTCTGGTGTGCTTAGTTGAACCGCGCGCTGAATTTTCATTTTCATCTCAGCCTCAGGCAACGGCAGTGTGTCTTTTGCGTCTCGGTGCGGTGCATCCACGAGAAGTTCCTGTTTGAATTTCGAAAAAAATGGCATGATAAGCACTGCGTTACACAAACATAATCACCAACTCGTTTCCGTAGTAGACATGCTGCATCAACACTTGGTTTCTGCTGAATCGATTGATGGGCAGTAACTTCATCTCATAGACACTTTTTTAAAGAGGATAGTATTGAGTTCATCTTGTAGAACAAGATGGGTCAGGGTTCCAGCAAAGGTAGCGGCGGGTCGATGTCCCGCACAACATTGGATGCCCCAGCGAGCGCCGAGTTCGTTCCTACGAGGGTAGAGATTAACCGTTGCCTCAGCGATCTACGGTCTCGATGGTGGGGTTTACAAGTGGGATCGTCAGGAGCTTCGTCTTCTTCGTCTACTGGATCGTCGACAACAGCTGGTAGTTCAAGTGCCCCAGCAGTGCGTCCGCTTCCCGTTGGTGTGCCATTGAACGCCTACGGCAAGCAGTACGCGAAGATATTCCACAGAAGTTGCGGAACCCATCGCGCCGATTTCAAGAGGTGCATCGAGAAGAACAAGTTTGACCTCTTTAACTTGGCGCAGTGGTATCCGGTATGCGGTGAATTTTCGGAATTAGAGCAGCGCTGCAGCTCAGAACTGATCAAAGCGGTGGACCGCAAGTGCCAGACGGTCTTGGACGCAGGCGCTGATACACTAGCGCCACGATCGGGGCTCAGTGCTGCACTGGGATCATCTTCAGGGGCGTTGTCCGCGCTGAACCCCTTCGCAGGTAGTGGTGGTAGTGCGCAAGCGACCTCTGCAGAGACTGGCGGAACAGAGCCACAGCTTTCACGAGAGCAGGCAGACGCGATCGGACGATGTGTAGGTTCCGTTTCCCTGACATTTGGTGACGACCTCCAGGCTGAAGCTAAGAAAGCGTATGAAGCGAAAAAAGCTCCGTTTCTCATGATGGGTGGTGCGATACGGTAGAGCAGTGGACGAAAAAAAGTCCGTTTCTCATGATGGGTGGAAAACTCCGTTTCTCATGATGGGTTTGGGTGGACGAAAAGGCCATGACCACGACTGTCCGGATGATTTACGACAGTGAAGCAATGGCTCTCCAATGACTCTTCCTTGTTGTGTCATAACAATTTCTGAAAACGCAATTGAGAGTTTCTGCGCCGCTCCATTTTCCTAAAGAACCGACTCGCACTCAGACCCGGTGAATGTCTTAACCATATTCACCTGGTATGTTCTTTTTTCGTAACAAATGATAAACTGATCGTACTAGTACTTTGCGTGCAGCCATACTGTATGCACGGTTCGTCATGACTTATGTCTTTCCGAACATGGTGGATTGATATGTTATAAGTCTGTAGTAGCGCCACAGACATCGATGGAACGTGTGTTAGAAGTAAGTATAGTGCGAGAAAACAAGATGTGAAGATTGTTGTACATCGACACTTCCATTCGTTGGACGATGCTAGGCGAGAAGAAAATCACTCACGGTCTCTGTGAATGTGAGAGAACAAGGTGGCATTAGGAAAGCCAAAAGTCATACGACGTGGTCTTGCATTTTCTCCAGTTATAATTTAGAAATAGTATGAGAGCGAATCTTTAGTATTACTTTTACTTCTTAGGAAAAGGTGTCGAAAAAATTGAAAATGGATACTGCAATCCAATCTGTCGTCCGGGATTTGTTCCGCGACATACGGGCAGTCACGGAGAGGCAGATTCAACGTGAAGCAAATTGGTGTAAGCGGCAGCTAACGGAAACGGCTCGACAGAGCAAGGAATCAAATGGCTCTTCACCCTCTGTTGCGACTAACTGCATCAATTCAGTATGCATTTCCTTGATTAAGTACCTATGTCCTCCGAGTAGTTCATGCAAAGGAGTGCATTTCCTCGAAGGGATGATGTGCTTAAGGGTCGGACCACTAGCTTGTTTGCTGAGTCCTTCTAATTTCTGACAGGGGAGTAGTCACGGCAGACCCAAGCAGCCTCGTTTGGTGGATTGGAGCGCAGGTCGTAATGCCATGGATAGAGATGTCACGAGGGCGATCGAGCGGCATATATCCAGAGTACGTGGTCGAATTTTAAAGCATCAACCGGTGGAGGATGTCCCACCTGAATTTGCAGCAGGCCTGCAAGGGTCACCAGACCTCCAAGGGCCGGGTGGGCTTGGTAGTTGTAGTTGTAGACAAGAACATCATCTTGAGGTGGAAAAACAAATTAGGCCTCCAGGAGTACGAGCTGGTGCTGCACCAAACAGTGACGATGTCCAATGCCAAAAGCAGCTTGACAAGACCAAGGATAATGTTTCTGCATCGTCGACAACCTGTTCCTACCTGTGTCTAACGCATGCGACCATGGCTACAACGATCGCAAGTGTCACACCTGGTCTCTCGGAAGACACGGTTTCCAGCGTAATGACGAACGCGACAGGGGGTCACTGTCACGCAGCTGTAGCGCAACTTAATACTGCAAGCAGTCATACAAGCAGTCAACATACGGCAGGAGCGGGAGTAATTATAGGTTTCAGAGATAGAAGAAGTTCTTGTATCAGAAATGCTTCGCTTCAGGGTTCCAGTGTTGATTTCTTGATATTATGAGTCAGTATCTAATTTTGATGTTCATCAAGTAGTTCAGATGATTTCTTTTGTGCACTAGGAAAAACGTAAAATTTTCAAGAAATAGAAAATCTATTCCAGCTCCCCGTCGCTCCTTCGGCGGTCAGCAGCAATCGAAATCCCCAGCAATCGAAGGGTTCGCTTCCCGCATGTCCACCCGCTCCCCTCGCTGTGTCGCGAGATCTAGCGGTCGTAGGTGGAAGTGATGTACCTTCCCGGGCAGAGCTTCTGCGCACCCCAAAACCGCGCACGCCTGGCCCTGCTATCTCTGAACGCGTAAGGCAGTTTCAAGCGAGGATTGACGAAATCCAAAATAGCAACGTCAAACTGGCTACTGGTAACACTAGGGATTCCAAGAAGAGTTCGAAGCGAAAGAAGCACGACCCAACAAACCACGAAGCATCTTCTGCAGCTAGACCTACTCCAGAGGTTTTTTCAGCGTGCCGCGAACCAGATGACTTCGGACTTATACCGAGGATGGGTGACTTAGTTGACGAGGCCGCGAGTGGTCTTGAACACCCTACTAGTACTGCTGGAGTACGAATACAAGAGAACAATATGAATACTTCTACAAGTAATGTGATAGAGGTGGATGTGGATCACCTCTTGCCGGTTCCGATGGATGAAGTGTCTGTTATCAACATTCAACAGGCGGAGAGTATGCAGGAGGACAGAGTCAGGTAAGAATAGACGAAGATCATACAGATTATATATTTATAGTTCCTATTCGTATTGTTCAGTCGTGCATATTTATAAGTGCACTTCCCTGAAGTTGTGAAGAGAAAAACTACAACCTTTTTCTATCGTATCCTCCTACCACAATCAATTCAGTGAATTTCCTTGTACAACCCCAAAATAAATGAACACAGTGACCTTGCTGACGGCAGCAGCGTGCTGCAAGCCTCATCGTTACTCGTCGGCGCTGAAGAGACGCTTTTAGATTTGAACAGATCCATCGCGGTGCCCCCGACAACTACGGTCCTTGAGGGTGATTCGGCAAACATGGAGGATGATGTTGACGACATGGAGGTCAGTTTTGAAGTCAGCAGCTCTGTGGAGGACGAGGGCGATCAACATCTTAGGGCAGCTGAAGAAGCAGCAAGTGAAGTCGTTGTGGTCAATGACGCAGATGATAGCGCAGAAGTTACTGTTTCTGGGGAGAAGCAAGATCTTGAGGTACCGCAAGCGCAACAAGGACAGACTCATCAGGAACATCTACATGTAGAGGGGAAACAAGAACAACAAGCTCGAGTAGAACAAGTGCAGCAACAACTTCCACACCAGACGATTGAGAAGAGCACAGCAACAGCAAGTAGTATACCAAGCGAAGACAAGGACAACCTCGAGCCACATCTTCAAACAAATCAACATCACGAACATCAGCATGGTTCGACATTTGATAGATTAGAAATGCTTCTGCGACGTGAGCAAATACGGGGATTGAAACGTGAGTCGGACAATTATGAGATATCCGAGCGCGGTGAGATGTCTGGTGATGAAGATTCAGAAATGGATTCGCCCGATCGCAGTCACAAAAGAATACCTAAATGGTACTAAATTTACTTAGTACAGCGATCGCAGTCACAAAAGAATACCGAAATGGTACTATTTACTTAGTACAGCGATCGCAGTCACAAAAGAATACCGAAATGGTACTACTTGGTACACTCTTAGGTTTACGAAATAGATCGAGACAAACCCTTCCCCTCCAAGGCAATTTCCTTCCGCATTAAGGTGTGAAGATTGGGGCATGGCAGTCCAACGGCAAGTTTGCATCGACCCAGACACTATTTTTGGCGCAGTTAAGGCAGGAATCAATAGTACTAGCATTCAATTCTTAATATCAACAAATGTGGAGAACCACCATCCATAAGGTGTCATCAAGTTCCTCATCAAGAATCACCTATCATGTGTTGGGTAGCTCTAATGCACAAGTCGCGCCACCGGATATCGTAAGCATGTTCGGAACGAATGTAGTTCCCGCCAAGCGCCGACGCAGAGGCAGCAGCCAGAACTGGGATGAGGATGGGCTGACAACCACTGAAATCGCAAAATATAAGTCAACAATGGGACAAACCAAAACACTCACTTTGTCTTGATGAAGACGAATCTTCTCAATCAAAACTTTCAACTTCCTGTACTTGCACTGAGAATCATCATGGACCACCAATATGAAGCACTTGTCAATCTACATCCACACATTTATATACTCTTCGTTCTGTTTTGATGAACAATCATCTTGGGTTTTTACATTCTACTTCCTTGCTTGCACCTGATTCCGCGCACTTTTGAAAATGGACATGACCATCAAGAAATGAAGGGGTACATACACTACATCCCGTAGGTACTTCTTACACCTACTGGTAGAAGCACGCCAGAGTCGGAGAATTAAGAACCACTAGTTCTAGACCAGAACACATTCCAAGAAGAGAATGGCCCAGTTTTCTGTCCTGGATCAACATGTACTAGTGTAGTGATGACAGGTTGGTCATCAACTGTTTTTTTGGAGGGATCCTGCTCTCAGATCTGGATTTCCGATGATCTGCCTTCTTTACTCCCGTCGAATGATCTTGTGAAGTAGACTGGATCACTCCTCCTGTGCAGGTTATTGCATTGCTCTGCGAATGATTAATTGATGTGGTACTTCTTCTACTTCTTCTAAGAAATGAAAGAGAAAGGCCGTGTAGTATTTCTTTTTCTCTAACATTGAGATTCATCATTCTGTGGAAAGAATTGACTCAGGCTCAGTCTCAGGAGAAATTATTGGCTACGCACCTTTCTGTGTTAGTTCTTAGAATCCCCTTAGGGCAAAGTGCTGTCGCTACGGTGCGGAGTCAGAATGGCGCAAAAGTCAGGCGCGAAGCTAGCAGAGGTAAGCAAATATTTTTTTATCATGCAGATCATCTTTCACGCCGGATGCCTAGGTGGAACGGGAAGAGGTATAAGTAGCATTTTCAAGGTGGTGATATTTTGTGAAATATGTTCACCCGAGCGCAAGAACCTTGGTTACTTACAAGTATGACGTCGAACATAACAATCCACAGGTCGCAAGGTCTCAGCGGGTAGTCGTGTTTGGAGAGGATTATTGACCTTTCGTAAGGCAGACGCGGGATGCTTTAAAGAGTCAAGGGATTGACTTTTATGGCTTCTTGGTTATTACAACTCGCTGCGAATTCAGATACTAACTATTTAAGTACATCTTATTATGGTGCCTTATGGTGCCTCTGTCTGGTGTGAGAGAGGGAAAGAACGTTGAGACTTGGAACGAAGTACTTACTTTTTTTCCTGTTCTAGAGGGAATTCGTCGAAGACAAACCGATTGTGTCTAATCCTCTGTTCAAGGATATGTCTTGTTCTTCTAATTCTCTGTCTACTACAAGGATATGTCGGGCGCTGAGCGTTCGGAGCTGGCACAGATGAGCGGCAAAGGCACAATCCCGCAGTCCTATGTGAATGGCGTCTGCGTTGGGGGATGCAACGATGGTGCACAACAATGGCAGGGAATAGGTATGGTGAAAATTTATATTGAAAGAAGACTCAAATGACTTTGAGTATAGCTAGATCCTCAAAATTACTTTAAACTTTTAAGAATTTGTTTTTGGCACTAGGTGAAAAATCTTTCAAATGATCTAGGAGAACTACTGTGCTATGCTATGAATGTGTGAAAAATCTGTTCAATTATGACACTGACACAGGAACACTTATTAGTACTCATAATTCTCTGATGAAGATGAACTCCCATTTCAATTGAATACTCGAGCAGTGAGTGACTCTTCATTTTGTCTGTTCCTCTTCTAAACTTCTGAAGCTTTTGAACTCTGGTCGGGTACAGAAGGCGTTACAAAGCACTCAGGATCCAGTAGAGACGGAGAAAATACTCAAAGATGGATAGCTCAAAGATGGATAGCTTCATTGGGGTTGGGAACTATGGACGGAACCGAAATGTCACTACGCCCTAGGGCATTTTTGGTTTTCTCGGAGTGAGAAGCATAGCCATACGCAAGAGGACAAGAACATAAATATTACGAGAGAATTTACCTTTACACTTAGGAGAAATTTATGTGATGGCGTACTCCTGCATCGTGTCTAGCACGTCCAGCCGTGGGGTTTGATTTTCCGATGCGGATCGCTTGATTTCACCTTCATCTGATATGATCCAATACTATGTTCTTATGATGTTTTCTAAATGTATTTCATGTTTTCTTGTTGTCTTTTCCTCGTCCCTTCAACAATTGGAGTTCTTGGTTCTTGGAAATAATGGTGTGTAGACTAGTTGCTCACTCTGCCACTGCTTGGTTGGCAATAAGTTGGCTAATTTCGAAGAACAACCTATAGTGAGGCAAATCCGCTCAGTCTCAAACGTTCTTTTCGTACACCTACCCACGTCTTGTATGTATGTTGACAAGGAATGAGAAGATGGCGATGGCCAGACGTAGTCTGCATCGCTTTCTCTCACAAGGAACGTGTCTTTCCTAGTTCTCAAGATCTGAAAAAGGAAAAAGATCCACAGTTACTGTCGGAAAACAATGAAGGGAAAAGAACAAAATTCATAGTGGGAATTACAGACATAAAAATGTATTGTATAATGATGCGACTTCAACAGCAATAAAGAGATCGTCGATCCAACCACCAAGAGATCCACATGATGCGAAAAAAGGAATTCATCCACGATCTGAAAAGAATTTCTTGATCAAGAAAGATCTTGGGAACAGCGAAGAAGCACATGACGAGAATCCCGAACTTTCCCCAATGCCAATAAAGAGGATTCCACCTGAAGGTATGATCATACTGATGCCCTTTGGTTTTGAAAATTTTTTGGAAGTTTGTTCCACTTGTTGCGTATAAGTAGGTAGCGGACAAACAACGAGTTGACAAACAATTTCTCATCTTCCGTCCCGTTACTCAACCCGCAGCGCAGAAGTTGATATTCTAACAATAGTACAGAAGACTATTAAAGTACTATAGTAGTTGCGGTTTTTCAGCTACCTGTCACATTATACAAATAGACTTGATAATTCAACCTAACATTAATGTACTCGATCAACACGTATCACAACAACATATATATTTGTTGAACACATTTATTTTCCCCAGTTATTTACCATTTACTGTCATCATCTCCATAAAGTCTAAGTCACTCGCACTACATTGAAAGCACTTCACTTCTTCAAAATGGGCGTTATCAGTGAAGCCGGAAACATGAAGGAATTCCTCCAGAAATTCGCAGAGGAGAACCCGGACGAGTGCCCGTCATTGACGGACTGCGAGGAGGTGCACATCACCGAGGAAAAGTTCCCTGATAACAAGCTCACTGCCGCGGATGGCTGGGATGTGCTCGTCGAGACGTGCCCAAACATCAAGGCGATCGCCATCACTATGTGCGATTTGGAAGAAATCGAAGCGCCACGAGCAAGCCTGGCGGAAGTTGAGGTACACTTAGACATGATAAAGAGTGCCTTCTACCAAGTTCGTCGTGCAAATCAGTTTCGTGGTTTCGAATCATGAGTCAATTAAGAAATAATGAATACCAAGAATACTCACTCTTCAGTATGATCCAGTATTCCATATCTTTCAACATCATTTCAATATCAAAGGTGATCGACATCAGCGGCAATAGTATGAAGAACTTGGATTTTTTGGAGAAATTTCCGGATCTGATCTCTATGACTTTTGCGGAGTGCAAAAATTTGACTACTCTCGCAGACATCGAGAAGGGCATGAAAGCACTTTCTTCCTTGAAAGTTGTCGACTTCAGCGAGGAAAACCTCTTTGGCCAGGCGAGCGTAGAAGAGTGCAGGCAGAAGTTCTTCGAGGTACAGGACTTTTCGTTTTGTACTACTACAACTAGTTGTAGTTCTCCTATCTAATGCCAATTAGACTTAACTAGACTATCTTGGACTTGTTCTTCGTAGTAGTTGAATTTTCGACCTCTTCACTCATTTTGTAGCTTTTGATCTGCTGGGTGGCTCAGTGTCCCGCTTCCCCCCGCTGATGTTATCTATCATCAGAAATTACCTATCGTTACCATTACCGAGCCTGTATGCTCAAACGCATTTGTTTTAATCACGACTACATCTACAGATGTGCCCTTCCCTGATTGCGGTGAATGGGTTTGACTCAAGTGACAAGCCTGTAGATGACGATCTTGAGGAAGAGGACCTTGAGAATCTCATGATGAGCATGGAAGAGGAAGAGGGCGACCTCGATTCCGACGAGGAAAGCGCTGACCCGGACGGCGAGGAAGGCTCCCCAGACGGCGAGGAAGGATCCCCGGACGCAGGGGAAGACGGAGAAGAGGAGCCAGCTGCCAAGAGGACGAAAACCGAATAAGAAATAATATTGTTAATAGAAGTTCTTGTACTAGGAGATGAAATACTTCTTCTGGTTCTGGTTCATGATCTTCAATATTTTTACACCAACCTCATAAAGAATGGGGAAGTTTCTTTTTACGTCGCTCATTGCTCAGAGGATGTGATCACGTAGCTCATTGTAGCAAAAGCTATCCGCGCTCATTAAGAATCAACATCACATTAACAATAACTACTCACGAGTACTACAACAACAATTTATTGATGTGGGGAGAAGCACCCACAACAAGAACCTAAACTTATTTTAGTCAACCTCAACATCAAGGATATTTGTATGTTTTCGCACACTTAATGAGAAGCCGCTGGCTGTCCCGAACTGTTCAAACTGCGGGAGTCGGGCAACAACTGCGCTAAAAGATAATGCAACTTTGCAACTTGACAGATTTTTTATATCCGACAAGATCAAGACGAAGACCATTTCAGCAAAAAATTGGTTTGATGATGCATGTTGCACAAGCACAAATGAAGAAGAACAAATCAAGAAGTCAATGGCAAACCCAGTCTCAATGTCTGGGGATGAAGTGGATGCTCTTATTGTAGTTGGTTTATCGCTAGAAGAAGGAGATGAACTTGCTTGAGCCCTTTCTCTAAGATAAATCTAAAGTAGAGGACGACATCGGATGATCAATGAGCAAAGCAGTTGTGGAAAACCGAAGGCTGGTACATGGAATAGTTACGTGAGGAGAACGAGAGACGCAGTATGAGAAACCCAGGATGAGAGATTCCAAGTAGCAGTAATGTTAGTGAAACCCGCTGTGATGATGATAGGTAGAGCCCCATCTCTATCCTCTATCCACCCTCCGGCGCCAGGATCATGCCCATACCCTACTCGAGGGTCATTAGGTTAGGCTGAGGCTATGAGATTTATTTGTTTTTCTGAATTTTCACAGAATAACGCCTGGATCACGAATACTCGACATTCATTTTTTTCTTTGTTATGAAGAGGATTGAGATAACTTGCCTTTGGCTTGTTACATAAGTACTAGCAGGTTGCAGAAACATGATAGAGTTTCATCATTTTCCTAAGTGTTAAAACATCTGATCCTTATGAAAAGAATGCAGAAGCTATGTTTTCCGTGATGGCTACTCGACGGCCCTGCTCTTGCTTTGTCCACGCTGCTGGTAAAAATCATCTACCACGCTTCGCGTTGACGGAAGTTTTTACGGAATGCGTGTGGTCGTGACGTCCATGGACATGAAGTCGACGTAGTTGGAACGGAAGCTGGGGTGGTCAGCAACCGCATCGGCGCAACGCAGTCTAACGCCATCCAGGAAAGGAGGTAAATCTGCAGCAAATACCGTCGAAAATGCGTCGCCTTGCAGTGGGCAGAGGGTCTCGCCACAAGGACTTCGGTCTGTCGCACAGGAACAGTAGGATTGTTCTACATGATCAGCAATGTGTGCCACTCAAGAATGGCCTCGAATGTTCTTGTGCACGGGCAGCTTCCTTACAACTCCTAGTAGGAGGACCTTGTTCCCCGTCATCAACTTCCAGCTCGTCCTGGCGGCGATTTTCTTCAGCGAGCGCTCCACAGCCTCAACATAATTATGGGCAGCAGGAGCAGAATTCTGTGCAGCCGCAGGCTCCGGTTCCAATCCTGCCGGCAAAAAGCATTGCTGAACAATTCAGGGATGAGGACGTGTTGTCACCCAAGCTCATTCGCGAACTGCAGACGAAAAAGTTCCTACTTCCTCAGGACTACCTGGAGCGGGGTGAAAAAGCCTGTCGTGGGCGCATGCTCGCTCATGAGCAGAGACAAAAGAAACACTATGATATAGAAAGAGCAAAATTGGGCTACAACAAGAATAATTATATATGCAGTGTGCCGCTTCACGGCTTCTAAAGACGCGTACGTGTTGCTTAGCAGCGCGATTAGTAGCTAAGTACGGGTAACTTGTATCCTGTCGTACATGATGAGTAGGAGTACATGGGAGTACATGGGGGCAGAAAAATGACCTGGAAGGACCACAGCTTGACAAGGAATTGCTGTTCCTTCGTGAGTATAGTACTTAGATGGTTCTTCTACTTCCACATCGTAAAAACATACTTGTTATGTTGAACAACTTTTTATGTTATTCTTCTACTTTTACAACTTTTTAGCTTCTGTACGTCTAAGTTTCACAAGCACAGGCATCGTCTCAGAATGAATTCGAGTGGCAGGATCCCCAGAGGATTCGATTTCAAGAGGCCCTTTGGGTTGATGAGGCTTGTCATCAGGCGAGCATTGACGAAAGGCTGAATACTCTACGAGGTCGCGTTACGCATTACGATAAATTATGACTTCACGACATTAAAAAATGTATAGTAAATGTTGTAAATCCACCATTAGCTTGACGTTGCACAGGGCCCTGGCCTGCCTTCGAAGGTGAGACCTCTGCGGCTGACAGGGCCACGACTTCGCCGGCGCTTAGTTAGTAGCTGTAGAGAATTACTTGCCTGGCCTTTCTTTTTTCGGTTTTTGTTTTTTCTAGTTAGGCCTGCTCCACCAACATTATATTGACGGTACGAGTAACTCTAAATGTAGTAAATCCATCATTCATGAGGAGCAGGGGCATGATCGATAGTACTAAGAATGTTTTAAGTTTGACTTTAAGGGAGGGGAAACGAGAAGCGCTTTGCGAAAGAGAGTCTAGAATGCTGGAAGACAGATCGAGTAGAATCTATGCTTCGTCTCGTTAAGATGCGGGAGGTAAGAGGATTTGATAGGTGTGCGTCTAGTTCACGTTCAAGTACTGAGTTCTCCGCTTCAAAGCGTATTTACTAGGGCGCAACCGCGCGCCGATCTCTAAAGGTGGCTAGCAACAGCATGAGGGTTCGCGTCACAGATTACGTTTCCGATGTGGAAAAACGTCTCATGAAGCATGTATCACCTGCTTATCGATGTATATTTTACATCGATCTCCCTTTTGATGTTAGCAGGATAGTAAATACAGCGATGTCCAGTGTAGATATCGCATGTCTTCAGTATGTCTTCGAGTAAGTAGGCAAAATTACTTCAACATCATGTAAATGGTCTACGATCATATCGATAGCGCATTTCGTCCTATTCCTGTTGTATTCAAGGATAGTACTGATTGAAGCTCTTCTACAGGTGGTGAGCGAGGCCGAGCGGGAAGCAGAAAAAGCAGCGGAAAAACCTGAAGGCAGTATGTTTCGCGGAGGGGGAGAGCTTCGAGTTGGAGCTGATATTCTCTTACGGCTGGCTTTTATATCGAACTATGTGTGTGTGTGTGGAGTAGTTGCACTCTCAGGTGCGTTTTTACATTCATGGGGGACTTCCCTTTTTCTTTCTCCCAAAAGAGCTTTCGCCTTTTGTTTCTTCCCTAGCAGCTTCTAACCATGGGCCAGATAGTAGCGCAGTCGAAGCTAAAGGAGATGCGCATCGTGGAGAAAAAGAATTTCGTTGGAAAGGTCTCGTCCTCTGGTCACTCGCGTGCACAAGTAGCCAAAGATTATGGTGGTGTTTTCTGACACTGTCTCCCGTGTACTATTTTTCATGAACAAGCAAAAAAATTGGTTCGTGCCTCCGTTCTCGTCCTCGTTCATTAACTCCTTGTGAATACCTCTTCCACTGTTGGAAAGGTCTCTTCCTCTGGCCACTGCATAATTAACTCCTTGTTGTGGTAGCCAAAGATTATGCACAACTTTGTAGTTTGACTAGCCTTCCTAATCGTCTGTGCCACCTCATGAAGCAAGTGGATATAATGGGTCATCGTGGACGATCATCTGGCTCATCTACTTGAGCCACCCAGGAGTGTGGTTCAGTCACCCATCTAAGACAAAGAGGGAAGCGGGGATGTCGACAAGATCTCGGCACGGATTTGGATGGCACCGCCCTCCTGGACCGAAGCGGTGAGGAAGCTCGAAAGTACAGCCAAAAATGCACGAAGCCGTGAGAGTCGAATGCGAAGAGCAGCGCAGAAGACACATACAATTGGCGATCAAGAGTCATCAGAAGAAACTAAGACGGGTACAAGGGTTAAGAAGTTGTCGTGAAATGGAGAAGACCTCCATCACATGATACTAGAGTTTACTGTCTAATTAGAATCTGAACCATTTTCTTTATGCTGCCTTCTCTCAGTTAGAAAATTTGTATCTTGTTATTCTAAAAGCGAAGAGATAATTCGTTACGTTCTCTCATTCAAAAATCCAGGTACAGAAGCGCACTCGGGCGCGTTGCATTGGATGCGGGACATGCAGACATCGTTGACACTGAATATTCCTAGGAATCTCACGCCGCGAGGCGCAGTATTACTTGATGCACATCAACCGACGGAAAATATGGCTAGTTGGTAGTTATTGCAAAAATTGATTCGATCGAGTAATAGGGCCAGGGGTGATGATAACGAGACCATCCCCAGTGATACGAGGCAGTTGATATACATATAATTTCTCGTGGAATTATATCTCATGCAATTAACATTACGACCTCCTCTAGAATAGAAGGCACAATCATCACCATCATACAAGTTTTTGCCCTACTACGTAGAAGTAGGCCCCAGAGAGAGTAGTTGATGCAGTACCAGTACCCAGAGGACATGTTGTATTTCATACTCGGCGATCCGGTTACGCTGTGGCTTGAAGGCGTTGGTGATTGTCACATTTTGCAGGGCAGGAAGGACGTTCTGGTGGATTTCTTCGCGCAGAGAGGGTCGTGGCGAAAAAAGCACGTAGCTATTGGTTGCGCGCCTCGCTACTGGGACGTACCGCAAAACATGGGGACTAGTGCGGCCACCATTTCCTTCTTTGGAAAGCGGACCGAGAATGATAAAAGTGCTGATGTGTTTGCGTCTGGTAGTAAGGGAGGTGGAGAGGTGGGTGAAGGAGGTTCTTATGGCAGAGGTGAAAGTTTTCGGCTCTTGTAGTTGTAGCACCACACGCTAAGGTCGAAGGGAGACGTCAAATGCATAGAGACGCTGGATTTTACGTGAATTACGTCGTGATTGCTATTATCTAGGGTCCTCTATTTTAGTTTTGCTTCGTACGCGAAAGAACTCTGCTTCTCCGTTAATCTTTGGCGAACAAGTCTGAAGACGATACGGAGGACGACAAGGATCTAGCCCAGTACGACGAAATACAGGTTTCACGAAGAATAGCACTCACGAAGGAGGAGACGGAAAGAGTCATCTGCGAGGACCTGCGTTATGGCTCGATTTTGGACTAGCATTTTAATTATGCATCCAAAAACTCATACATACATTGGAGAAGGCATGACTGAGTATGGGGTTATGAGAAAATCTAAAGCTCAACGCATCTGAACCGAGAGCAGCTTGATGTGGTACGCGGAATACTAAGTGCAGATTGCAGTTTCGGGAACCCGATGCTCGTCTGGGGCCCACCGGGGACTGGCAAGAGTTTCACACTTCAATGCGCCCTGTGGAAGGTCTTGGATTATGAAGAAAGAATATCTGTATCGCAAGACTGTGTACCTCTAGACTGGGCACCCTACTACTACTAATACTACTACTCAAATTTCGATAGCACTGTCGTCAGAAATATTGCGCTCTAGTTTTCACCGGGAAACACATGTGTTGAAGATCATACTTACTAATGTTCCCCCGTTTGCTTTTCTCTCTGACTGAAGTTTATTTCCCCTCTTTGCCGTGATTGTTGATGTTGTACTTCGTCTTTGTGATGTCCTTTGTTCATGACGAGCATTTGCCGGACGTGAAGGTTCTCGTTTGTGCACCCAGTAATAAGGCAGCGGATTTGCTTCTTGTTGGTCTGCAGAAGAAGATCGGGCTACCAAAGTCGCAGCTGATACGAGTGAACAGTCGTGGTCGGCAATTCCACCTGGAGACGCACTTGCCAGAAGTACCGCAGCCGTTGCACCAAGATTTCTGGACTGAGGACGAGCTCGCTAAGAAGGAGGAATGCAAACGGCACAAGACCATGCTGAAGTTATGTTGACTTCCGGAATAAATGTCCCCCATCTTCAAACATGATTCATTGTAATTGCTTCACCATCCTACAACAAGACTGCTTAATAAATTTCCCATCGATCTTCAGAAGCAGCATCTTGGACCACCTCTGTGTAAGGGGAAAACGGGCCCAAGATTTGACTTTTGAAATGGGAGATTCCCGGGGGAAGGTCTAATGAAGTATAGCACTTGCGACACGGATGACGTTAAAGCGAGTCACAGAATCGTTGTCACGACCGCGACGGCGGCAGCGAATTTGCCCTCATTTCTGGATCTTATGCTCTCATAATCAAAGTGGTCACTCATCGACTCTCTTAGTGCGAACAAAGTCGAACAAGCAATTCCAGTTTGAATTAGGGGATGTGCTGAGAACAATCTGCTGTTTTATTAGCTTTTTATCCCTCGTCGATCGTGCATGCACAGCATCAGGCTGTATGGACAACATGTTGTGGTCAGTAGCCTCCTCCTAATAATATCCTATCCTATGTATCCTACCTTAACACCTCCAGTATAGGTACAATCCTACCTCCTCAATAATATCCTATCCTGCTCCTAATAATATCCTAGCCTATCCTACCGATCCTCTCTCCTTCGCAGCCACACCAGCTTCATTTTCCCACCGGCGGTGAAGGCAATGAAGCCAGTGGTTTTCGTTCCTGACCTAGTCATCGTTGATGAAGCCGGTCAATGTACAGAGCCTGATGCCTACATGCCACTCTCATTGAACCCCCGTCGTGCCCGCGTCGTCCTCTGCGGCGATCACAAGCAATTGCGACCAACCGTACATATAAATATGTAATTGTTGGTTTCTTGCTTATGTTTTTTCTGAGTGAACCCTTCTCCCCCGAACACACATGTCTATGAAAATGCAGAATGTTAAGGCTGAAATAACTTGTAAATACTTCTAGATTAAGTGCTACCGTACAGACATCAGCTGTACATTGTGTAGCACAACGTGTTCATACTTAAAGTAATTGCTAACCTAACATTGCCTGTATTTCTCGGCTCTTATCTCTTGCTTACCAGTTGTTGGAAATAAATCGGATTGACCTATCCCGCCTAGCACTTAAACTTTAAGTGCATTAAGTTAAGAATTCGTCAGGGAAATCTTAGGCAGATAGCCGAGTAGATTCGTATCATCAAGTTAAGCTTATAATCCTATGTATACTGTGAATCTTACAATACTATGTATCAAAATATAAATAACCGTTTCGTTTTCCCTCTATCCTTGGGCTTAAATCCCTTCAAACACAACTATGCATCAAAATATAAATAGGTTCCATCTTCCGAAGCTACGGGTCTGAGGTTGAACACGTCAATGTTGGAGCGACTAGCATCGGATAGAATCAACCGCGAAAGTACCTGGAAGCATGCGAAAAAATCAGGGATGCAGTATACTAGGTTATGGAAAAAGGAGGAGGATGTCCATGTCGTTGCTAGTTTCACGACTAAGCTGGAGTAGAATCCTCTGTGTATGCCGCCTTTTGGCCGTCTGTAGGTCTGTGGATAGCCGTCTATCCTTCTCCTAATAATAATGACCCGTAAAATTAACTAGACCTTCGCATTGTGCTGGGATAGAATCACCTGCGTGAGAACTAAAGGCAGGCTTTTCTAACATGAACCGGCTTAAACGAGAAAATTTACTTTCTGACGAAGACGTTTCGATCGCATCCGGAACTCACCACATTGTGGAATGTGTTTTATTATGCATGGAGAGCCTTAGAATTTCCAAACACATCCCGGAGATACATACAAAAATTTGTGAGCAACTACTGGTGGACATAATTTTCAAACCCATCATCCATGGAGATTATACCTCGATAAGTACTTGAGGGTAGGTTAAATGTGCTTTTGTTACCGTTTGTTATGGCTCTCCTAAGGGGGACGGCCACAACAAACGGGATAAACGAACACCAAAAACCTCCTACCTCTAAAGTACTGCCACTCACTTCTCATCTAATGCTCTTCGAACACGCTTGTCCCTGTGAGCGACCGGGCGAACACAGTGCTGAGATTTCCGCGAACCGGCAGCCCAGCTCTGTTTCACGACCTCTCAAACGAATCAGCGCACGCTGAGGAGATGTACAAACAGAGTTACATCAACCAGCTTGAGGCTCACTTGGTGTGCAAATACAGTAGGGCAAAAGTCTAAATACGTAGGTGTGAAGTAGTTCTAAAGAAAATTAACGGGTTATAATTTTCCTTCGACTTCTTTAATCCACCCTTCAGCTTCAAGCAAGTGAAGTAGTTCTAAGGGCCACTAAATACTTGGCATCATGCAAAATATTAGATGTTGAAGTCTTATGTAAAAGCTACAGTGTTCATCTTCTTCCTACACGAGTTGGCGGACAAGATGAAGACGAGAGACGTCGGCGTTATCACGTTTTACGATGCGCAGGTGAAGCTAATACAGCAAAAATTGAATGAACATTCTGAAACCGGCGAGACTTATCTTGGTGACGTTGAGGTGGGAACGGCCGAATACTTCCAGGGTTCCGAGAAACGAGTAATTATCATTTCGTGCGTGCGCTCGTCATCGATCGGGTTCCTGAATTATGTTGGTAGATTTTAATTTATACGTAGTGGAATATATATAGACGTTTAGACTTAGATGATTCTTTTCATTTTTTTTGTTTCCTAGATAGGCGTGCTCCACCGATTTTATAAGTAGTGGAATGATCGACTTTCGTCTGTTTTTAACTATGCATGCCACTCGGATGAAATTAGCGAACTAGTGCTCTTGAATAGAAGAGGATAGAGAACGAATGTGGATTTACTCGTGCAACTTTGAAGATTGACTTAATAGTGTGCTTTTCCTATATTTGGTTTCACTCCATCTACAACCCGAGCCACGATGCTAGAAGCAAGTAGAACTGAATATAATCTATATATGAGCTGCTGTCAGCTTCTTCTTTTTCCTAGAAGTTGCGCCTACGTATAGTACCTTCATGATGTTGACGAGAAGCGATTGAACGTGGCACTCTCCAGGGCACAGGATGGCATGATTGTTCTTGGTGCTTTTGCCGGTCTGCTTGTGCAGGATAACTGGTGGAAAAAAGTGGTCGATACTGCGCAGATGATGGGCTGCCTTTATCAACCTAGTGGACACGAGGAAGACGAAGGCTATCATCTGGAAGAGGAGTCTGGGCACCCCTTTTTAGAGGACGACGAGGGTGAAGACCTCGTTACAGGTGGAGATGAGCAACAACGTGCATAATATGGCGATAGAGCGTGGTAGCAAGGTTTGTATCATGCACAGCATTAGCAACGTTTGTGTGCTAGTACTGCAACTACTCGCCTGACGCGATGATCCGGAAGGCACGACAAGGGGTCCTCGAGTGACGTTCAGAAGGCACGACACACGGAGAAGGATGCCCCTAGCGTCTAGTTGATGTTGAAAGTGGAAACGTTGAGATCTCTCAAGGGGAAAAACGATCGTAAACGTTGTGTCGTTGTTTGTGAACACCTTAATCTTCTGAGCGTCAGCGAGGAAGATTTTTCAACAACAAAATAAAATTTTATTTTTCCATTCCTGTAAACTGTTTCATTTGATGAGATGGTTATGATTTGATTCATGTTAGAGATCGATAATGTGATCGATCTCTTTCCTTCTCAACGAGTAGACAATTAGATTAGATCGATCGATTAAATTACTTCTCTCGTCGAGTTTTCGTCTCAATGAACTCATTTAGTTAGACAGCAGGTTTCAATTCCTGCTGTCTTGACTCCCGTGACCGAAAGGAACTCTCGTAGATTTCAGGATCTCAATTTTCCCCTTCAGTAGAAATCAAAGATCAAGTGCAGGATTTCTTATCACCCCGGGGGGTATTGAAAAAAAAAATGAGATACTTGCTACGTCATTAATTATATGTTATTTTTCTTCTTTACATCATCTTCACCACGTTGATGGTTTTTCACAGTGGACCATCAACCACTTTCGCCGCGCGCAGCCCCTGGCTCCGCGATGACTCTCCATGAAAGTTCTGGCTTCGTGTATTTCTCCCCTGGAGAATTACCCACTTCATATTATGGGTCTCGATTTACAGTCACCATGTGACTTTTTCAAAAATCGACAACGTAGCGCTCGTGTAGAACCCCTGGCCCTTCTAGTATCACCATGCGATACTTTATGCGTCTACGTCTGTCGTATAGGTTTGTTGTTAGTGTCGTTTGTTCCAATGGTCACTCAGTCAGTCTTCTTCATCTGTCTGCTCCAAAAAGCTCAGACTAAACTCGTAAGTAAAAAAATCAAGTCTCTCAATTCCTTGCCATCCTCGTCAAGACAACTCCTTCTGGTCTGATGACAGCGGAAGTTCCCATACGAAACGTCTTCTGAATAAAGCGATCTCGCCCCTTGCAAAAGTCCATCCTCCGCCTTGCATTGCCCGGTACAGCTGTTGGAGCTTCTTGCCGGCCGGCACCTTTGTAAGTGCGTCTGCGAGGTTATATTCGTCTGTCACTCCCCCGATCTCAAATAGACCATGAGAGTACAGATTTTTCAGTAGAGCGAGTGGCTTATAGACCCTAGCATCCTGTACGTCAATCGCTGCTTTCGACCTAAGCCGTGCCGTAAGTGATTTTGAATCCGTGATCAAACTCAGATCCTCAGCTGTGCCCGTCCATGTTTCTACTTTCGCAACGTGTGCAAGTCCTACGTCTATAAATTCCCTTGCTGCCAGAAGTTCGCCTTCGTATGAGGAGGCCGTTACTGTGTCGCTGAATGTGACATCTGAGTAGAGTATTGAGCGCCTCATTGTTTGTTCGTTCGTGTCGAGTCCTCTCTTCACCTCCATGGTGCCCCTAACCGCTTCCTCCAAGTCAGCCTGGGACACAGACAGAAGCACCATTCCAAGAATCGGCTTCAGTTTCTTGGCTTCCTCCTTCACGTCTCCTTTCGCTATCGTATATTGTTCTATTGCGTTATACTTCCTTTTCTGTTCTTCGAGTCTCTTGCGCTTCTTCGAAGTCGCAGATTTGGCTGTCGTGTATCTTACTGGTTCTACCTTTTTGCGCCCTTCTTGTTTCTTTACTTCTTTCTTTGTAAAGGTTGTTACTCCTACCCATTTTTCCTCAGTTCCGATCTGGTTTTCTGGGTCTTTCCAGTTCTTGTCTCTATCTTCGAATTTAATCCCACTCTTAACCTTCGTCCCGTTGGTGGTCCTGAATACGTAATCGTTCAACCTCGTCTTCAGCTCTTCTGTTTCGGGCTTCCAGAGCTCAGTCCTCGGAATCTGATGAACAATTTTGATATGCTCGTCCTCCACGATCATAACGTCCTCCTTCTCTGTTGGTACGTCACTCCCATCGGGCACATTAGGCCCTAGGTACTGCCACGACGAATCCGACAGGATTATGAACGTCTCATCCCCATAGGATAGATCAATTACTACTCCTGCGTCGGGCATGGACTTTAACCTACGTAGTATTTCGTTTAGCATTCTTGCCTCGCGATACTTCTTTGCTGCGTCTTGTCCTAGACATACAAGTCTTATTGCGAGCTGCACATCTACTCGGCATGTACTTATATATAGTACCGCCCCACGCTTGGACTTCAGCTGTGTCACATCTGCTGCTGACAGTATGTCCTCGTCTTGTTTGCCTTCGGAACTGAATTCCGTAAGTGTCTGTATCTTCCTAGCTACGTCTATCGTGATTCTCTTCTCCTCGTCTGTTATCTCCCTACCGCAGAAGATAAACTTCCCGCGCTCCCATGTTTCTACTCCGAATTTGTTCGCTAACATTTCCATCACTTCACTAACGTGTTCCTCCTCTCCGTGAATTAGTAGGTCGTCCACGTGTACGCACATAATTCCGAGCACATTCCCGCTTTTCTTATCATTCTTTACATAGACTGCCGGCGCGTACTGTGAGTTTCTCCAGCCGTTCGACTTCAGGAATGTCTCCAGGGTTCTGTACCATCCCAGTGCGCCTTCTCTGGTCCCGTATAGCGGAATGTTTAAAACCAGAATCGACGTTACCCCGAGGTCGAACTCGGCTGCCATCATCACGAGAAGATCATCTGCGCGAACGTTTGATGGGAAGCGAGTACGTGGTCGCTTTTCTCTCGCCCATCGCAGAGTCTTCAGGAATGCACGAGGCACATCCCCGGACACAAGCTTTCTCTTTTTAAATCTTCTCCCGAAAGAAAGACACTGTCTCACCTCTGTCTCTGTGGGCGTAGGCGACTCGCATGTTATCCCCTTGCCTCTGTGTTGTTGGTGGCCACCAGGGACCCACCTAACTTTCAGTTGCATCATGGTGTCTGACACTCTCTTCAAATCGAAGATCACGCGTGACGTTATGGGGTTTTGTTCTTCGTCGAAGATCGTACCGTTATCCATCTTTTCGAAGAGGTCTTGTTCAAAACATGACTTAAACTCTTTCTTGAGCGCATTCATCATGTGTAGCGGTACCTTTAAGACGTACCGTAGCCACGACTGGTCTAGGTCTATGATTTTCGAATGCGAGCGTATCCGGTTTCTCATTTCCTCGGTAAAATGTGGTCTGTCAATTTTTAGGAGTCGTTCTTCTGCATTGTCTTCGTCTATCGCTCTATCAGAATTGAAATACTCGACGATGACAATGACCTCGTTCTTCTTTCCCTCTGTTTCCCACTTTCCGAGTGCACTCCGTTCCATGAACTCTACCTCGTCTACGCCTACCTTTATTGCTTTCCTTCCCTTTCCGGGATCAGTCTCCTCATCTAGTATCCCTGCTGCGTCTTCGGTTCCGGTTTGGTTGAATAGCCACGTCCTCAGTGGTGCTCTGTATTTCTCATTTTGTGCATCGAAGAGTGCAGCATGAACTAGGCTACTGGGCAGACTGTCGCCCCGTAGTTCTCCTCCTGCAAAGTCTTGATTGAATTCCTTCAGGAGCGTGAAAGCTAAGCCACGTCTTTGTGCTCTCGTCGGCTTTATCAGCTGTAGAATTTCCTCTACGGCCACCCTGTCGGCCGTTACCATCTCCTTTGTTCTTATTATATTTTCTGGCTCTAGTGGGTTGTCATCCACAGAGAAAACCACCTCTTGAAATTCCATCTTTCTGGTCTTGCCCTTCTTTCTCCCTTTTTGTATATGTTGTCCCTCTTCCTGTCTCTCTACCATTCGCGGTCGCGCTGATGACGATGACGACGATGATCCGCCTTCTTGGTAACTCGGAAATGTCACCTTTCTCTCCTTTCTCTTCAAGGGCAGCAGGTTGTCCTCTGCTGCTGTTACGGGCCTCAGTTTTGGTCTTCCTGTGTTGTTACCTTGTAGTCGTAGAAATTCCATGTTGAGTGGTCTTAACTCCGGGAAGGTCACGTGGTAGTCATAGTTCACCTTTGGTTCAATCTGTGCTACGTATACTGGTGGTTGATGCGATCCATTCCCAGTCTTTATTTCACATCTGGGTTCTCCTACTGACGACGGCAGGCACTTCACGAATGTTGCTGGGTACCAGTTTGTGTCTTTCCCCTTATACCGTATTTTCTGTCCTTCTCGGTATCTGGTTTGTAATTGCAGTTCGCGTCGTTCTCGTGCCCTGATTTTTCTGGCCTCCTCCACCACGTCCTTTTCGAGTGTGATTGACCGGTGGTAGGCCTGAATTGCTTGGCTATGTTCCGCTCTGATGAAAGTCGACGCTGCCGCCTCATCCATATTGTACCTTACAACTGCGTCGTCTTCTATGGTTGACGCCTCTACTCCCTCATACGGTCCAAATTCGCATGTGTCCGGGGCCAACCCGTCTAAAGCGCTCGTCGGGTTTCTCCCTATTATCCTGTGTATTTCGTTTAACCTGACGTTTAGTGGCACGTTTGCAAAAATAGGGTCTCTGATGCATTTTGCGTCCATATTTCTTACAGCTAGGTGTCTTCTCTCGATAGGTGCAAGCCCTGTTTCATTTCCTGTCGATGTTGCAAAAACATCTCTGACTTCCTTGTCCCATTTCTGCGTGCACTCACACGATATGTTCTCTCTCCCCTTGTCTATGATGATGGTTCCTCCTTTTGGTGGCATGATCCTCATGTCTACTGCCTTGTCACACAGCTTCATCACCGCGGCCGCTGTCGGTGCGCCTCCTTTCCTTAATTCTGGCACCGAGAAAACATCGCATGCATTTATTGCTATGCCTTCTCTTATCCTTTGAGCATCGTCCTGGTCCAGCTTCTTCTTCGTAATGTATTCTTCTATGTTCACCGAGGTGCCCGCGGTCACCTGACAGCTCCTCCTTGTAACTAGATTCATCAGGACGCACGACGCGTATAGGATGTTATCACCGGGCACTGCTGCGAAAAAGGCCGTGTCGATCATCACCAGTGCTCCTGATGTGTTCCTTGATAGAAGGAAACCTCTCATCGATCTGTTCCTTGCAGCTCTCTGGTGCTTAATCGAATACTCATAGTTGTTCGATGCCAGCTCTACTAGATACGCTAGCCTTGC